CGGCGAGGGCGGGGGCGGGGGGTTAGGAGCAGATAGATGGAGCGTTTGTGCGAACTAAGATAAATGATATGTAAAAGTAAAGTCATGTATAAAATGCTTTTAAATGGCATGAAATACTTTTTTTAATTGGGACCCTTTGCCAGGCATGTGCAAACTAAGGGCCGGGGGCCGGATGTGCCCCGTTCAGCTTTTTTAATCCGGCCCGCCAAACTATTCTAAATTATATAATTTATTTATATTATCATTATATTTCTGCCTTTTCCCCTGCAATACCCATGTTTCCCCAATAGATGGCGCAGAAAATGATTTTTAGCCTTTATGCATGATTTTTACATGTTTACAAGAACGTTCCATCTATCTGCTCCTGACCCGGCCGACGTGTTCAATTTTAGGACAATTGTGGCCCGCGAGTCAAAAAGTTTGTCCACGACTGACCTACGCTGTTGAATGTGTCGCGTAATTGAAACATCTGGTCCATTGCTAAAATACAAACTATATTAATACTGTGTCCTGTAAAAAGGCAGCGTTATTCCTGTGCTGTGAGAGGTTCGTGTAAGAACGTCTGTCCTCCTCTAACCCTCCCTTTCATGTAAAAAGATAATAAACAAATATTTTTTATTATCTGCCGCTCATTATGGTCTGGAACACACTGATTACAGCGTGGATTTATGGACCGTGGAGACATGGTTAGAGTTCAGGATGAGCTCAGACCATACTGCCTTTCCTTACAGAGGAAACTACACGAATGAGGAGCGTGTGATTTATTGCGTGTTTTCACCGCAAAGATCAAGTTGAACGCACATTAGTAGTACTTACCGTGACCAATAGGTGGCACTGCATATTATTTATCTTTTGTTCCTGAACTATGATACATACAGTTTGTGTGAATGAGTTACGAATAATAAAAAAGTCAAGAGGGAGAGAAATGTTCTGCCGTTGAAAGCTCACTAAAAATACTTCCTAGTATTAGTTAAATACTGCTACTACAATACAATTTTATTTTTGTTTTAAAACAAAGGATCTTATTTTGATAAAAAAAATTACTGTATTCTCAACACACGTTAAGGTGTTTCCAAAATAAAAGTCCTAGCTGAGCTCTTCAAGAGGGTTCACACATAAACCAGGGAAAGAAACAGTTTTTAATAACATCTCGATCAAAGTAAAAGTTTTAGACATTTGACATTCATACAGTACAGCCAATCAACAATCAGCACTAAAATTATTTAGACATTACACAATATTTAAATAGCACAACAACTTCTTTTTAAAGCACTAAAGCACAGGATCTCCCCTTTCAAGTAAAAGCCAGAATGAAGTTGATTTGACATCCAGTCTGCTTTTACAGATTTGGTTTTTCCACTAGATGGCAGCAGACAGTATCTACCTATTGCCTTATTGTTATTAAAGACCTGTTTTTTTTTCAGTTCCTGCGAGTATGTTGGAGTTATTTTCAACTAAATAGAACCAGGTTTGATACAGAGTAAGTAAATTGATAAAAGGTAACATTTTGTTTGGTGGTAGAAACTCTCATTTCTTTACTACACATAACGTATCTTTGTCAGTAAATCAGGATGTCTACTCTTCCACTAGATGGCAGCAGACGGAGTATCTACTGTGCCTGTTGCCATTCAAAGCTATTGAAGAAATCTGCATGACTGTTTTTTTTCAGTTCCTGCGAGTATGTCGGAGTTGTTTTCAACTAAATAGAACCAGGTGTGATACAGAGTACGTAAATTGATTAAAAAAACATTTTTGGTGGGATTTTTAAATGTAAAAGTGTGCACAGTGGCTCAGAAATGATTGGGAAAAAAACATCTTAGCCTATCTATAGGACACGGGCAAAGCTATCTGCTCGCAAAAGTTGAGTCAAATAAGTAGAGCTCAGGTGTTTTGTCTTTAAAAAAAAAATACTTGCACAAATTGACAATTAAAAAAAAGCCATTTATACAAGTAAAAATCTTCCTTATGGCAAGGCAAACATCTCATTCGCTGACAAACCTCGGTTCAGCCTGTGCTCATCTGACTCCACAACATTAAATCAACTGCAGTCGTACGTATGTTTGCTTCAGATGCATTTAAAAAAAAAAGAGAAGAAAATCTTCCCTACTGTACCTTTAATTGGTTGACTGATTAAATATATAATGGATTACATGACCATCCTGTTACGGGGCTTGGTTTAAGAATGATCATGTTCCTTTTGTTCTGCTGAATCATATATATATATATATATATATAAATATCTGTATATATGTATATATATATGTATACATATATGTATATATGTATATATACATACTGTATATATATACATATATATACACATACATACATATATATACGTACACACATATATACATATATTTACATATACACACATATAGATATATTGACTACATATATATGTATACATATAGATATATATACAATATATTGTTGCATGTGTATTGTTTTTTTCCACTAAGGCCATTTGGGTTAGGGTTAGGGTCCACAGTCATGGTCCCTAATCCAGGGATCCAACAGTATGAAAACTTCACAGGATTCAGACAAAAAAACAAAAGAAAACGAAGGCACAGACCAAAGCAGAGGAGCCAACTTGTGCTCCAGTGCTTCTGAGGTAACTCTCAGGTTTATTTGGAATGCATAGAAGGAAGAATTCTTGGGAAGAGGGGAACACAGAGAATAAATATTGTTTCGCAACAATATTTATCGTTTCAGGAAATTACTATGACAGTGTCCCGGCTTCTCTCTCTCTCTGTGCTGTATTACTGTATCTTACTGTATGATTCACTGTTAGCAAGAAAGGCCGCACAAATTAAGGCGAGCTGCTTTTCAACAACTTACGGCAGCGGTCAGATTTTGTCCGACCTCTTTGTGCTTTTCAAGTGTTGGCAGTCTGAGAATATATATATATATATTTAAATTATTATTATTATTTTTACAGCATTTATAGTTGAATTAATATCAAAGCACTTAATGATGCTCCCTGGTTTCACAGAAAGATCATTTTATCTACGTCTCAGGCTCACACTTCAAGTAATTTCAGGCATGTAGAAAAAAAATTCCACATTATGTATAAATATCATACATAATCGTATGGAATTTTGTAAAGTTGTAAAAAAAAATGTTTTTAAAAATGACATTCATTAGAAATCACAGGTAAGGTATAGTGTTTGGGATGTGACAAGTTCAGCAGCTGCGACACGGAAGATGTCGCTGCACTGACACAACGTCGATACATAACAGGGGTGCGACAAGACAAAAGAGCCGAGGGACTTCAGAGGTTCCATCAAGGTCCAAGTCTAAGGGACTAAAACATGTGCCCCTAGTGTTGGGTAAAAGCTATGACAACCTCACAGTTCTATAGTGGCAGCTGACCCTTAGAAAAATAATTTAAAAAAAATATTTGTACATAAAAACACATGTTAAAATGAAATGTTAATCTCCGTTATCTCTCGATAATTTATAATTTACCTTTAATTTAAAAAAAGCTTTTAAGCTGCTTAAACTTAACATTTAACAATAAACTGTATTGCCCTTAAGTGCTGTTTCATGTTATTTCTGCCATTTTTGCTAAAATACTTTTATCATTTTCTACACCATCTATTGGGGAAACATGGGTATTGCAGGGAAAAGGCAGAACTATAATGATAATATAAATAAATTAGCTGAACGGGCCGCATCCAGCCCCCAGGCCTTAGTTTGCCCATGCCTGGTCAGGCGCAACAAGCGCGAATGAATCTATGATCCAAAAATTAACAAGTGGCGCAATTTCAAGAGTTTTTATTTTTATCTATCAGTTAAAAAAATTAACACAGTTATTAAGTGAATTATTATAATAAAATAATAAATGAGTTAAAAAAATTAACACTGTTGAATTATTATAATAAAATAATAAATGACTGTGTGATTATTTTTTAATTAACATTTTAATTAGAATTTTAAGATTTTTTTTAATCAAAAATTTTAACTTGTTTTGGGTTTTTTTTCTTTTTAAATTAAATTTGATGTAATGTAGTGTTTTTTTTAATTAAATTTGATGTAATGTAGTGTTTTCTACAGACTTAGTCCCAGGCTTTTTGTCCACTGTGTCACTTCGCAAATGTACCGTATGTATGTGACACTCAGTGGGTGAACTGTCACAATCCCAAATCACTGCCTAAAACTATAAAACTATATCAGAATTTCACATTACACATTCAAAAAATGCTTATAGGTTCTACGTGAAATTACCAGAAATACAAAAAAAATGACCACACTTTATGTTCTGTTGGTAAAAAATATACAAAAAGTGAAAGAAATCTCCGTATGCTTTGGATAAGCTGAGTGATGGAGTGTCAGATCACAGGATCTGTGACCTGACTGACGTCTTGACATGGATTCCACTGTCAAGAGCGCGCACGCGCACAGCGCTAGCTCACAACACTGCACGCGCACTGACGACACAATGACAAATGACAAAAAAAAATATTCTCACGTTGAGAAGGCCAAGAATTCTGTGATTCCAAAAAACTGTCGTGAAACACGCTACACAGACACGTGGCGCCAACGAAAAGCTAATAATTTAAGACGACAAAAAATGCACTTAATCGTTCGAAAAACAAAAGCTGAATCACCTTCAGTGGCGCATTTTCCAGGGAGATTCAGGGCAGTCATATTAGATGTGTGTAGCTGCAGAGCTAAGTGTACGACTGTATGATGCTAACAACAGGTAGCGTCACAGTCCCGGAAACCAATGACCTGTATGTGCCTCTTACAACTGGATGCAGATGTGGATTAGTATCGGCAGATTAATATCAAAATTCAATTTGAAATTCAAATTTCAGACTACAAAAGGACATCGTAGTGTGTGAAACAACAACAACAACAACACTAATTATAATAATAATAATAGTGTCCCTTATTCTTCACACATTGAGGAAATTTACAGTGGTAGTCTTTGCAACCGACACAGGAGGCCACAGGAGGCGCCATTAACAACGTGGTTGCAACTCAACGGCTTTGAATGTTATATATATTTTATGTTTTGTTGTTAAAGTTGTTATTGTTTGTCATCGGAAGTCAACGTATAGTTCCATGAAATACGGTACAGGGGGTCCTCGACTTTTGTCTGAATTCTGTTTCTACGTTGCGACGTAAGTCGGAACTCACACACTGTACGTAAGTAGCCATGTCACTCGCCTATGCTAGCACGGTGGCAACATCATAATCTAGGACATAAAAACTTCAAAAGAGTCTGAGAGCTAAAATGGAGGGACACCAAAACAACACGAACGAACAGAGAGCGAATGGATCACAATCCAATGCATGGCGTTGAACCGGCAAATGTAAACAAAGCCGTCTTTCTCGTAGCATTGCGTGACGACGTATTCTTCCGCGCCGTTCGCCAACTTCTTCGTCGTAGTGCGAAATTCATTTAAACGCCGTACATCAGAATGCTGGACCAAGACTAATAATAATAATAAAAATGACATTCGTAAAAGACGCTGACCACGAAACGCCACAGGTTACGGACGTCGTAAATCGAAGACCGCCGCAAAGTCTCTTAAAAAGCACAATATTATGGCTCTCAGTGTGAAATTCGAGTTCTTCTTATATTAAACGTTGCCATACTGGAGGTATACTGATTATCGAAAGAGTCAGTTTCGTTAAAATCGACTTTCCGTCGTTATTTTTTCGGACCTTTGACTGTCAGTGGATGGGCGGTTTATCAACAACACACAGCAGCAAATAAACTAAAACTCAAATTTTTTATACTTATTCTTCAACAACTAGAACACACAGCAGCAAATAAACTATAACTCAAATTTTTTATACTTATTCTTCACAATATCTTCATTTCTAATATATATATATTTTTTTTTTTTTTCAAATGTCATGGCTACCTTTTCTCTACAAAAATAACACGTTTTTACTGTACATCTCATAGCTACCTGATTATTAGAATGTGAGGATCCGATCACAGTGGTACAGCTACAGCTACTGCACATCGCAGCCGACTGGTCTCTAACTTTAGACTGTGTCGCACGCCTGACGAGATTCAGCTAACCGTTTCAGTTTTGTCGACTCTTTCCAGTTATGTGTAATTTGTCAGAAAGCAAATTAAGTGATTATCACCATTTCGCACGTATTTTAGTCTCTGTAAGGTATATTAATAAAAAAAAAGAAAAAAAAGTGTATAATTATTTTGATTTTAAGATGATCTGTGTTTGAAGTACTGTCAAAAAAATGAAAGCAACCAATGACACTAGGGTGTGTGGACGTGCGTCATAGCTAACGGATGGCTCAATACGATACTCAGGATTAGCATCGCTCCAATATTGGTCAAAATTAAACTATCGAACATTGAAATTGCGCGTCCGATCTGATAACTAAGCCCGGCGGCTTAACTTATCTTTGCGCGACACGCTGTAAACAGGGACCTCAGCAATGGCAGCGCCGCGGCCCGCAGAAGGAGCAAAAAAGGTGTCGGATTTACATCGGTATTAGCAGATACTCCAAGTTGAAGTATCGGTATCGGTGCATAACAGTTGACAGAGTTGTATGGAGCCATCCCTAGTATCTAAGTCATTATTTCCCTGGGTCGCGACCCTCAGGTGGGTCACAAGAGATTTTTTTTTTTGGGGTCGTTTCGCATCATGTTTCCCAGGAGTTTACGAATAATGTCTATCAGCTTGGTTCACGAAGGTTTGGGACTTTTAAAATATGGGTCGCCGGAAAACAAGTTTGGGAAATACTGATCTAAGTGGTTTTAAAAAAAAGGATCATAAAGACGTTTCCTGGACTGCGTGAGTTGCCAGCTGGTAGGAAGCTTCTTCTTCGTCCGTCTGTTCTCTGTTGCTCTCGGTGTCGTCTTTTAGGGAAGACGCTTCGTTGACTTTCTTGGCCTTGTGGTACGACTGTGGCTTGATTTCCGTTGGCTGTTCAAGCGGGACAGGAAAGAGACAGATGTAAGAAGAGGGGGACGGGGGGCGGGGGGGACACGGATACGAGGACGTGCAGTAAATCAGAAGGTACCTTTTGAGCCAGAGGGGTGACACAGCAGAGCTTCTCTCTGTAGCGCTCAGGCAGGAAGAAAAGCAGCGTGCCCAGAACTGGGAACACCGTGCCGGGCTTCAAATCCTTCTCCTTCATTGGTCCTAACAAGAACAGAACTGACTTTTTAGACCAAAGTGAAGTGTTTGCTTGTGACACTGTCAAGAAGAAACGGCGAGGGTTGAGGTTTTTTTTTTTTTTAAAGAGTTGATTTATATGTGCACCGTGTTTGTATTCATGTTTGCATCTGACCTCACGGACATTAGTCTTGTAGCACTAGGAGGAGTATTTCCTCTCTGGCAGCCTTAAAGGGTCAACGTGTGTCCTCCCCATTCGTGTCTGGGGAGACTAAGACTGCAGCTGTAACAGGACAAGGTTTCGGACCGAGACTGACTACTTTGTTTTAGCAGCGGATCTCTAGGAGACGCTACACGTACACGAAATGTACAGCATCGAACTTTGACAAGCAAACTATATATATTTACTGTTTTACTAATCAATTCAGAGAAACTTGGAGAAGAACTCCATTGCTTTTCTCTAGTGATTCCTTGTTGTATTTAAGGCAAGGGCTGCTCAACTGTGTGTGGTCCGTATTCTGTGATTATCAGGTCAGTCAGGCACATAAACTCCACGCCGACACGGCCAGTAAATAACTGCCCCCAAAGGGGTTAAAACATTTTATCTACCGGTTCTAAAACTGTTGTTAGTATTGTTTTGTTTTTTTTACCGTTTTTTTTTTTTTTTTCAGATTTTCTTCCATTTTTATATAGCTGACTGTTTATCTAATTCAATCACTTCATTACTATTTATACTGTTCATATATTTAAACTATATATTGACTTGTTTACATAATATCCTTATAGTTATACTAGTTCTACTTAAAAAATACAGTACATATACATACCATAGAGATAATGTGGTATACTTAGTGTACATACATACATACATAGATATATGTACATACATATGAATATATATACATATATATATATAACAATGGTGTAATTGAAATATAATAATAAATAATAATTGAGATTGCAATCAACAGCACTATACACAGCAACAATAATTACCTACTAATCCACTAATACTACTTACCCTGATCTATGTATCGATGTACTTCTACTACAACTTTGTATTTTATTGTATTTTACATATTCGTGTGTTTTTTACTGTTGTTTTGGTATCTATCTATCCATTCATCCATCCATCCATCCATCTATACATCCATCTATCTATTATCCATCCATCCATCTATCTATCCATTCATCCATCCATCCATCCATCTATACATCCATCTATCTATTATCCATCCATCCATCTATCCCATCAATCCATTGATCCATCCATCCATCCATCCATCCAATCTATCTATCCATCCATCCATCCAATCTATCTATCTATCTATCCATCCAACCATCCATCCATCCATCCATCCTTCCATCCATCCATCCATCTATCTATACATCCATCTATCTATCTATCCATCCATCCATCTATCTATCATCCATCCATCCATCTATCTATCTATTCATCTATCTATCTATCTATCCATCCAACCATCCATCCATCCATCCATCCATTTAAATGCCGTACATGCTAGAAACCAAAACCATGGCTTCAATTCTGCCACGAAACAGAACAAAAAACAAAAATTACATTAACCATTAAGGCTAAGGTAGCTTTAATAAAGTTCCCAGTAAAGCGCGTGTTTGCCGATAATTTCGGTAACTAACTACCAGCACTAGCTAACCAAATGTGTTGAGATGTATGAGAGATTTTGTTTCACATTTTCATTGTAGAAGTTGCCATGAGTCTTTGAGTGGGATCTATAATTAGCCGTTGCCATGGTGTCAGTGACACTACTTGTTTTGGAATGCGTTCATACCTGTCAGAAAGCTCACTATCAGGCCCACCACCACCACAGTGGCTGAATTGTGAGCACTGTACCACATGTAGGACAGTGAGTAAATTGCCTCCACACCTGTCGGTCTGAAGCGGGGACAGTAAAAACAATGCGACGTTAATGTGTCTTCACAAAAAAAAAAAAAAGAACAGTCACTGAATGGTCTATATCAGACGTGGGCAAACTTTTTGACTTTGTCCTAAAATTGATCAGAGGGCCGGGTCAGGAGCAGATAGATGACGAGGGGCCGGGTCGGGTACAGATACATGGAGATCGTGTGAACTAATGTTTAAATACCTTTATCAATTTAATGCGCCATCTATTGGTGAAACCTGGGTATTGCAGGAAAAAGTGAGAAGTATAATGATAATATAAATAAATTATATCATTTGAAAAACCTCGGTTTGGCGGTGGTGGCGGCCAGGACGGTCATAACGGTGCTGGTTACGTTGTCAAACGGGGGCAGAGCAGTTGCGTTGAAAGGAGGCACCGTGGTTCCGGCCGATAAACGCATCACGAAGCTGCCGATGCCGATCCAGAAGGCCATTGCCAGGCCTGCTACCAGTCCGACCACAGCACCCTGAGAGAAGCCACGTTTTTATATACGTTCTATGAGGCTTACGGAGGTCTCGGGGGGACAAATGAAATGTGGACTTACAATTGAGTTGGCCCAGGGGAAGAACATTCCTAAACAGAAGAGGCCCAGCAGGGGGCCCCCCACCATGCCGAAGATACTGAAGGCTGCCTGATTCATAAGAGGACAGAGCAAATCAGTGCAGACAATGACTGTCGTGTAGCTGCATATTTGAATGAAGTCCAGTGTGAACGAACTAACATGAACAGAGAGCAAAGTTTACTATGCATTTTTACACTTGGGCAGAAGCATGTTCACTCTACTCTATTCTCTTATTCTTGCTAATGCAGTCGAGGAATATGTCATTTGCACATGTATTTTCATGTATTCACAATTAATCATGATTAATCATGATCAAACAAATGAATCATGATTCATTCCGATTAATTGTGATTAATCAGAATAAAAATTGACATGGTTACCTGTAGCACAGATCCCATTATTGAGGCGATGTAGGCCATAGCCAGACACACCAGGCCGTAGGATAAAGCTGCAAGAAACACGATGGGAAAATAACTGTAATGTTTTTTTTTTTTTGTGATTTTCTCATTAGGCTTTTTGGTAAAATTGATCACTAATGAACACTTGAAATGAAATGCAAGAAGGTTAAAAAAAAAGGTTCGTGGTTAATGGAATTAAATACTTATATATTACCAAGTCCTTTGGACAGCAGGGTGGCTTTCGCTTCGGTCATGTTTGGAAACTGGGGTTTAATCAGGTCCTCCATGGTTACGGTTGCTAGGGAGTTGAAGGCCGATGAGATGGTACTGATGGGACACACACGGGATTGAATGAGACAGCGGCACTTTTGATGCATGATAGTGATGAAAGTGAATTTTAAAACATTTAATATCATATACATCTGAGGTTAAGTACATCGCTACGACCCGCAGAAAAATCGTGCTATTTTAATCATACTTGCCATTTTTACCCAGTCTGATTGGATGCCTGAAAACTAGTTATGTTGTTGTATGTTATCTTTAAATATCATTATGGTAAAAAAAAAAAAAAGCAGCACATTTGACCTAGCAATGTAGTGCAGTGATACATGTCAAACTCAGGCCCGGGGGCCCAATCTGGCCCGCAGTGTAATTATATTTGGCCCGCGATACCATATCAAATCTGTACTAGAGTTGGCCTGTCAGTATATAGCCATAATATACTGGCAGGATTTGTAGTATTAGTGATAAATGCCGTATGTTATAGCACATACATTTGTTTTTTTGTTGTTGTTATTGGCCTGTGAAAAAAAAGATTTTTACGCAAAACAACTAAAGTTTGGCCCACTGTGAATTTGAGTTTGACATCCCTGATGTAGTGGATTAGTCTTATATTTCTAATTGCGTGGAACATGTTTTTTTTTTTTTTCAGTGAATTTGATGCCGTTTCTCTGTTCAGGGGATTATTTAACTTGCTTGCCTACGGCAAACAACACAAAGATTACACTCAAGGAATGTGAGGTTACGCTGCCTAAAGCCAACTTTGCAGAAACATACGGTAACTACTCAAAGTAGCTCGAGCGTTAGTCAAACATGGCTTCAAACTACCTAAGGTTAAATCAATATCACCCCTATGGAAAACTAGTCATAGCACTAGTAATGACAACAAGTCCTTATTGACAAGTCTGTTTCCTTTAGCATTTACCTAAGTGCTCCACTGAAGAGACAGGCTACAAACAGGCCCGGGAGCCCTGGAAGGTCCCTGAACACATCCATCACAAAGTACAGCACCATCTACAAAAAAAAAAAAAAAAAAAAACATTAAAATTTACAAAGGTTCAGTAATAACAAACGGGCTGTAGAGGGCGCACTTGCCTTCTTAGCGCTGTAAAGTAAGTAAAGGTGTTCACCTGGTCATTTGTTTTGACGTAGCCCTTGTCCAGAGGACTGTCCTCCCCGTAGCGAGCGAACATGACGAGACCCATCAAACATCCCAAACTCAGCACGATCTGCTGGCACGGAAAAACAACGTAGCAGGACCTGTAGAGTCAGGAAACGCCAGATGTCATATAGTGTGAATAATAACAACAATAAATCAGCAAAAATTATTTTTTTTCATTCTATAAAAAAAAAAACTAACTAACAAGAACATATTAGATTACATCAGTGGTTCTCAAAGTATGGGGCGGTATGACAAGTGGGGCGACAAACGGAAAGACATTTTCTTATATTTTCTTCTTTTGAACTTTGTGTTATTTTTTTTTTTAATTTTTGTTGGGGCAACCAGGGGCAGGTAGGGCTTGAAAATCCCCACTTGGTAAAGTCTCAAAATCATATTTTTAACCGCACTGATGATACTGACATGACGGCTTCCTTTTCAGATCGTGAACTCAAGTATCTCTGGACCTGGGCCTGGTTCACCCCATACAACGCCAGCATCAGAAAGACTCCTCCCACAGCCAGAGTCCAGAAGGTGTGACGCTCCAGAGGGTCCGGGTTCAGGCTACACAAAGAAAAAAATGGATTTAGAATATTTAAGAAAAAATATTTTTAAAAAATAAATAAAAAATGCACAACTCACTCTAGGCCGGCGATGCGACTGCCATTTATTGCTTTCTTCCAGACCTGCTCTATTCCCCCGGCCTGACTTGTTCCGACCACAATAACTGCCAGCTGGCCTGCGAACATCACTACGGTTTGGAAAACGTCGGTCCAGATCACAGCCTTCAGTCCACCCTGTTTCAGAAACACAACTTTAGTTTGATTGCTAATGTGTTGATAATGTATATATAGCAACAAAAAAAAAATACTTAGCTTAGCTTCTAATGTAAAACTAAATAATCAAATAATCTCCCTTTACAACAAACTCATGCAAATATCATCATGCAAACAAATGACTTCTTCAAAAATCACTCACCAGAGCCGTATATAAAGTGCAAACTAATCCCATGGCGAGCACTGCCCCCCACAGGTCGAAGCCCGTCACTGCAAGTGAAAATTGATAACATGGCCAATATTCATGTAAATCAGCTTTAAATGTGATCAAATGAGGTCACGTGTTGTTGAGTAAATACAAAAGGCTCACCTGCATTTAGCGCCAGAGCTGGAGCGTACAGGACGACCCCCATATAAATAACCTGCACAGAATTTAAGAAATATTTGTAACAGTTGAACTTAACACGAGTCACCGATAACGATTGCTACTAATCTTTTCGACCTTGACTTAACACATCAATTGCTTGTTATTATCAGAGTTAATATTTGACACGGCTGACGCTTTCACTTAAGATACAGCGATAGTCACTGCGTCACGTAAGAAAAGGACAATCTAAAATAAAATGCTTTGAAGGTCACGGTGATACGTCCCGGCCGTGATTTCAAACAGGTTGTGTAAGAATACCAAAACAACAATGTCACAAAATTATATATAATGAAATGTGATGATCGTCTGGTTTCAATTTTTAAGTACTCGATGTGAAACCCGGGCCTGTTTAGTTGAACATAATACTCGTACACTCACAGAAATTGAAGAAACACACACGAGGCTGAATATTTAAAATAAATAATTTTTAAAAATGTTGAAAATGTCATCATTTTCCTGAGGATGAATATTTAAAATAAATAATTTTAAAAAATGTTGAAAATGTCATCATTTTCCACAGTACATGTGATGATCTCGTAAGGTAGTAGTAATGTACTATTGGGAATCAAGTATAAACATGAGTCTTATGCTGGTGGTTTAAAATACAGTATGTCTGTCATAAAGTACAAAACTGCAGAAATGATTTTTCAGCTTCATTTTTTTTTGTGTCAACAGAGGAAAGGTGAGTACTATGTAGATGACATTTTTGTAAATATATAAAAATTACATTTTAAATACTTATGTATGAAGAAACCAAAATACCATCTGAAAGATGAAGGTCACAGTCCCACATATGCGAACCGTCTTGTTAAAGCGCAGCTCCAGATACTGAAAAAAAGTAGAAACAAAAAAGAGGACACAAAAACAATAAAACAAATTAAAATGCTGCACATATCATCTCAGAGTCCATGAGAGAGGAGAATACTGTAAGGATCTAATCTTTGTCCCCAAAACTTCACACCGGTCTTCTGTATTTCTAATCAGTGACTTTAAGGCCCGTGTTTCTTGTGAAGATAAGATGTTTTGGGACAAGAAAACATGTGTTTTACACTGAAAATTCACATGTTTTAGGGCAGTTGGGATCAGAGGGTAAGTGGGAAAGCTAAGCTCTGAGATCATACTTGAAAGGCGACAACTGGAGAAGCAAGAGGAAATGCTGACGTGTGTGTAAAAAGAAAAACAGACAGAAAAAAGGAAAGAGAATATTACAATTAGAAAACGGGGAAAAAGAAATGTATTCAAGTCCCAGTAGTTGTTGTTTGATTTTCTACTTTTTTTTTTTCCTTCTACTTACCTCATAGGCACTGGAAAGCCTCAGTCTGTAGAAGACCGGTATGAACACATGAGCCGGGATGAGGAGGCCCAAGAAGTAGGAGCAGCCTAGGAACCAGTACTGTGTTCCGTAAGTGTACACCTCAGATGGGGCGCCAAGGATGGCCACGGCTGATTGAAATGTAGCCAACAGAGACAAAGACACAGGCAGACAGCTCATGGAGCGGTCGGCCATCAGGAATTCCTGTGAAAACAAAGAATTCGCAGTGGTAAAGAAGACACGAACGTGCTGTGAAGAAAAAAAAAAAAGTTTCGCAGTGGTAAAGAAGACACGAAAAAAAAGAAACAAATGTTTCTCTATTAAATAAAACGTCTTCACACTGACACTCATGTAAACATGAACAAACACATGAAAATAAATGCAAATGTTTTTGGCTAACTTCACACTGGCGTAATTTCCGGACTATAAGCCGCTAATTTTTTGCGACTCAAACAATGACGCGGCTAATTTATCGATTTTTACAAGCTACTCAAACAATGATGCGGCTAATTTATCGATTTTTACAAGCAACGAAGTTCATACCGCTAGCGATCAACGACTTCTCTGGTAGGTTACTGAATGCTACATTAGTAGCGTATGTGTTAAAACGCTGTTTATGTTCTGTTGTGCTCGGTGTGGCTGATAATAAGGACCCCCAACTTCCTTGTTTCAGTTTACCTCTGCTGCGGACAAGAACGAAGGCCGTGTAACAGTCACTGTTCGAAAAAAACAAAACAATTTAAAGCAATAGAAAGTGCAGGCACGGTCCGGAAAAAAGCATTTATTTAATTAACAGGCACGGTTCGGAAAAATAGGCATTTATTTAATTAAAAGTGAAAAAAAAAAAATTGTGTAAATATCCCATGTTACAACATGGACACTTGCGGGCTATATATGTACAATTATTTTTTTCTTTTTAAATTTAGTGGGTGCGACCTATATTCAGGTGCACTCAATGGTCCGGAAATAATGATAGTTCTTGCCTAAGTTTAAACTGGTTTTTGGTCAACTCCAAAAAACAAAAAAAAAGTAGTTAGAAATCAAATTTAAGATATTATGCCAGCAATGCTTCAAGAGAAGGAATTATCCCACAGACATTCATTAACAGCAACACATCACTGAGCACCGGTTGAAAGACTCTTTTGAGGCCTCGACATCAAAGCGTACCTGAGTTGTGCGTTGGCGACCGCCAGATAAGGCATAAAAGAGGCCGATGCCAGCCGAGGCCACCAACAGCAAGGCGAAGATGACGTAGTCCACCGTGGTGAAGTGCATCAGGACGACGTCCCCCATGATTGCCCTGGACGTGGGGAGGGATGGAGGCAGAGAAAGTCGATGGCAACCCCTGTTGCCTCTGTGAAAGGTCACGCTGTCAAAAGAGGGCAGAGCTCTGAGAGAGAATCCAGTAGAGAGCTGAAAGAAACAAAAACAGAGAGGGGGAGAGAGAGAGTGAGAGAGAGAGAGAATATAAGTCAATGACAGAAGTGATAATAGATAATAGAAGGATTTTTTTTACATTTGATGGGAGTCAAATCTGTATGAATATCAACAGACATCTCTGTGTGCTCTTTAAATGATTGATTGACTCCTGGCCTGCAGCCTCCCAAATCCAGCACGTAACTAGATGCCAGTAATGATTTAATTTTGCTCTTGAGGATTTTTTTTTTTACATTTATTTTGACCTGTTTTGTTTATCTATTAATTGAACTCATATGCACAAAAAGAAAAAAAAACCCTACTTTTTTTATAATATCAGGGGGCAGCAGGGTTGTAGGGAACATCAATAACCGATGTGTCCCCCTAGTGAAATGTCAATGGCAACAATAGCTATGAACTCATTTGAGTTTAAACTCAATAGTGATAACTATATTTTACAGCAAAGATTTTCAACAATTTGTTTTGTTGTATTTTGCGTGTATTTTCTCATGACACAATTCAAAATATAATATATATATATTAAGAATGCACCGAAATTAAAATTGTTGGCCGTAACCGAAAAAGAGGGAACCAAGGCCGAAAACCGAAACACCGAAAGAAATTATTACGCCAATTATTACTACCGTTGCATTTATGCGACCATTATTTTTATATATATGTGTATATTTGTATATATATGTGTTTATATATATATATATATATATATACATATATATATATATATATATGTATATATATATATATACATATATATATATATATATACATATATATATATATATATACATATATATACACACATATATATATCCATATATATATAATGTATATGTAATAAATTTATTGTAAGGTGTGAATGTGCCAGTTATTGGTTGTTGATGTGTTTGACGTACATTTCTATAGACCAGAGGCCTGAGTCTGAATAGGCCGGAAAATATCAGCTGATTAAAAACAGACAAGTCATGAATCCCCCAGCTACTACCTTCAAGTACAGGCAGTTGAGAGAAAGTAGAATGGAATGACCAGTGTTAAAAGTTAATTATTGTACACAATAACAACATTATCACTGAAGGTCATCTCTGGAATGTGTCTTTACTCAGCATTCATACAATGTTTGTACGTGTGAGCGATATAGTGAACCACGACAGTTGAGTGAATTGGTAATTCTGATTTGACTTTAAATTATTTTGTTAAATAAAATATTTTATCATATTAAATTGAAATACAGAGAATAAAACGTAGCACTTCAATTTGAACAAAAAACAGGAAAAACCGTGGGTCGCGTTGACTAAGAGGTGTCAAGTAGACTGACAAACATTTCTGCCAGCACTGTGGCAACTTACCAACCAGTGCTCTTATGTCTGCAAACAGCACAGTATGAGCTGTTCAAGCCTTGGCTATGTGTGCTTGAAACACAGTAGGCAAGGGAATATTACTTCATTTATTTATTGATTCATTCTTTTTATTCATCTTTTGCTGCTTTGTCCCTTTCAGGGATGCATCGGGATTAGAGCCGATACCAGCGTTTTTGCACGGGTAAGGTACACCTCGGACAGGTCGTCAGGTGGTTGCAACGCCGCATGAATAGACAAGCATTCACTCTCATAGTAATGTCTATAGAAAGATACATTTAGAGTGAACAATGAACTTTATCCTACGCGTTTGAGTGTTTAGGAAAAACCGGTATATCCAGAAAAAACGTCCATGGATTCAAAGCTAATCTGACATATCATGCGTCTGACATATTAAGTGTCCTCACAGTAAAAATAGTAACCATGAAAAAAAAAATAAAAATGAAAAAACCAACAGCAGCTTTTGGTTAAATGTACCTTTAAAAAAAATTACAATAATACTGTTTGTTTCAGTTCAATGTGGCAAAATAAATGACACAACATTACAAAGAAAGAATTGCTGAGGACTTACTGAGAGAAAGCTGCTGCTCTCGCTGCTGGCAGAAACACAGGAGGCTCAGGCTGGAGAGCTCGCTGGAGGGAGGGGCTTCAATCCAGTCCCATCACGATCACTGTGGAGACACGGGAGAAATGTACCACCCTGTTGAAAACACAAGCTCCAACTGAACTGACCTATGACAAATATTGTTGCAGAGCACTCGACACCTGCGCAATGTTGCCAAAGCAGCTATCTGGCTGCAATAAAAGCAAAACCTGAGAACTGATTTGTGTTTTCGTAAGAAAGGTGGAACTCTATCGATTTCTGTTTAGCTAAAGTGGGAACTGGTATTGCCTTTCTACTGTGTATTATTTCTTTTTATTTAAAAAAAAATCTCTATAGATCAAACTCATATATATATATAAATATATATAAATATATATATAAATATATATATATATATAGAGATCAAATCAGGGGGTTGGCTTATATGCGCATAAATACCAAGGACAGCATTTTTGATCGATCGCATCATCACCGATAATAATAACCAAATCGAACGTATGGTCAAAAATGTCAATACGTGATTAACTGTACCACTGATGTTCAGTAACGCAAAAAAAAAAAAAGTCACGTTCTTCACGTCTATTCTGAATTTCGCAACAAACATTGGCGAAATCTTCGCAATTTTAACGTAAACAGAGTTTCCCAAATCGTTTTCTAATTCTACCGCAAAAAAAAATTAAAACATTATGGTCAGCTTACTGTATATGGAGTTTTTGTAAAAAAAATCACCATTTTGGAATCAATTTTCAGGGGTTGGCTTATACATGAATCGGCTAATACGAGAGTATACACGGTAGTTAATTCTTTATAACATCTTGTCACGATAACCAAAATACACTTAGTGCAAGACTAAGTCGGACCTTCTGACGCACTTCTAGCTTGTCCAAAATGCTAACATACCCCAACATCAGCACATTTGCTCTATTTATTCCCCAGTTGATTGAATAGATTTTAAAATCCTTCTGTTAGCATAAAACGCCTGCTCATTTGACGGAGAAATTATTATCTTTTATGCTCACATACCCATTCATGATAATTGCGTTACTGCCTAGAATGACGCATTGAGGAATGATTGTTATGACGCGCCTCTAACCCGTGTGATCAGACAGTAGCTGCCCTTGGACGAGAAGCAGGATTCCGAAAGGAGAGCGAAACATTCCGTAAACTCATCTTGAAGGTCGCAACCTTCGGTTCACGTCTGGAAACTCTGTTGCCATGCAAACTGGTATGTAAGCCTTCGTCAAACCTGATCTTCTTACAACTTCTGGAAAACTTCTACCAGCAAACGAACAAGCAAAACAGCATCTCAGGACTCGTAGAAAACTCATTCTTCAAGCAAATCTGTCAACACACTTACTGTACATGTGTAAACACTGCCACATTTATGTAAACAGTGTGGTTTATGTGTAAACATTGCCACATTTATGTAAACAGTGTGGTTTGGTAAGCACTTTTACCGCATTCTTGAACATGCATCTCTATAAAAAACATTAACGATATCTGTACTAGAGAAATACTAAAGTCAAAGGTCAAAGGTCAAAATCCTTAACACCCTTTCAGAATGGACCAATTAATCCACAACACAGCCCACTGAGCACTGACGTGTGCTCATGGTAACGATCTAAATCTCTGAGGCGAGGTCATGAGGTAAGCCAATAAGACCGGTCTCAAAAATGTCTGGCACACCGTGAAGCGGATAATAACACAGAAGTAAACATTACTGCTAAGGTGTGTGTTTTTTTTTTTTTTTACAAAGTTACACTGACACCTTCATCACATAAAAAAAAAACAAAAAACAAAAACCAAAATCCAGGGCTGAAGCTAACATTAGCTCCGGGGCTAACTCCCTTCACTTTGTGTTTGTTCTCAGCAGAGGTAAACAAAAACAGGGAAGTTGAGCCGCACAGTTACACGTCTCGTTTTCAGTTACAAACATTAGGCAAGAATCACCCCTACTCCAGATCCTCCCTCCTAAAACGATGATCGGTTAAGAATGCATGCATGAATCTAGAAAACCAATCCCTGTTTGGTGCTGTCCTGTTTAACAGGTTCCATACAAAATACAAAGACAGGGCAAAAAGCTAGACCAGGACATAGGGCAATACACCTTTCACTCCAGTCCTTTCATGATAAACAAAAAAAAAACCCTTGCTCTACGCTCTGTTGAAATTTTGACCCCCTGCTGCCCCCTCCACTCTACTTACTCAGATTCAGCAATATACATTTTACAATATGAGCAGAATACAACCAATGTTGTTCAAGGTGCATTATATGCCTCCCAATGTTTCAAACCATTGCAAGCTATTTTAAGTTTACAAAATTTGTAAATGCCCTTAAGTCTGGATTGTGACTGTGACACACAGGGTCCATGCTTTCAGTAATCATTAAGCTTCCACTCGAAACACTGACTGTTTTGTTTCGCGACCAAACGTTGAAAAAACATCACCAGTTTACAGAAAAAAATTCAGGACGAGCAAGTGAAAAAATGTAATTATTATTTGTTATTTTATGGAATCTTACGTGATAGGCTGAAGCTCACGTTGTGTTACTGTGCTCATCTGTCAGGCAGTCATTAAGTTAGGCTTTTGTATAATCATTAACCTGCAGATGATACAACAATTCCTGCAAGTAGATAAGAGGAGGTCAACTTGACAAACAGTATAACATTACAGTTGAGTGCTGTGAGAATTTAGCTTTTTGAAATGAGCAGCAGTTTCTCTGTCAATGTGCGCTGCGGACGTGTAGAACCAATGTATCGACATTTTCTTTAATGTGACATTTCTAAAATATAAATATAAAAATATAAATAATGACATAACGAAAATATTAAGTTCATGATCAAAAATAGTTACATCCAGGGCAACTGGACGGAGAAGAACCTGGTTCGTCCAGTTGCCCTTAAGGTAACTATTTTTGGATAAGATGACCTGGATGACTGAATACCTACACAGACTTTCAGTTCATGACATTAAAATGAACTTGTTTAGCGATGGGGTTGGATGAACAAAAATAAAAAAAAAATGATGATAGCCAGATTAAATTCTTTCCACTCACATCTACAAATAGTGACAGTCCACATGAAAACCCACTAAAATGTAGTGAACCGGAGATAAACAATCACTTAGTTTGCACATACGCCGTCGGAAAATGCCGTTTTAATAACAATCACACATAGAGAAATGGAGTCAGAAAAATAAAGTACGGTGAAATTGGTGAATTTAATTAAGGACCTGGTATGTGGATACACCAGTCGACCATCAATTTAAGGGAACCGGGGCATGCAAATCACTGATGTAATTGAGCCATAAGCCTCCAGAAATGTAAACATTTAACTAAAGCCTGGAGCTAACACAACTTTGGCTAGCAAGGTTATGTTTTAAGAACATTTAAATGTAAAAAAAAAAGATACACTGCAACCAATGTAGGGACTAGGGGACTTTGGTTATTAGTCATTAACAGTTACAAGTAAACGGTTTTTTTAACAGCTTTTTACCAATGTAAAAAATATTGTTCTACTTTTAACACAAACAGAACTGTAGTTATATTCTTAGCAAACTCGTAGTTTTATTTACTTAATATTACAAGCTTAGTCATTGACGCGTGAAAATTGCTAGGTGTTTATAATACGACGTTGTATATGGGTCAACCTTTTTTTTCTGACAACCAACCACAAAATGAAATGTTACCATCTGGATTAAATCAATAGTGACCGATGACGTGTTTTTTGCTATGCTGTTTATTTACCCATTATCTTCCAATACCGTGGCTTGCACAGCTGTGACGTCATTTCGACCGTTTCCATTTTTATTGCTATGCTATTATATTTATCCAGAGAAATACGGACAGTTTAACTCGATAGCGACATACATATGTTAATGGTCTCTAGATTGCAAGTCCATTTAACAATATAAAGCCTCAAAAAAAAAAAAAAAAAAAAAAAAAAAAGATAAGTGAAGCATGATATAGTTGCAGTCTGGCAGTACACGTGCATATCAACAGACCTGCTGTCTGTTATTAGCACTCAGGCGCTTTTCAAATGTCATTCATTTCAGCCGCTGCTGTTTGAGTAAGCTAACCAGCTTACACAGGCCAATTTCCCCAAAACCTGGTGCAGCCATCGACGTTACCGTTTGAGACTAGTAAGTTATTGACTTACATTACCCAAACGGCTTTTCGAAATAACACTTAGACATTCATGTTCGCGGCGCTGTTGCCCAACGCTCCACGCAACTTTCTTAGCTACCGCGTGGACCAGCGTGTATCTATGTCAGAAAGCCAACAGACACCGGCGCAGTCCCCGGTCACGACACACACTCGCAATAGCAACTCAGTCATCTTCATAAATGACAACCATTTTGTTTTGTTTTTATATAAACGGGGTCTTACCTTTGGTTGCTGACCGCTGTCACATTTACCTTACCGCATCATTAACATTGTAACGTATGGGAGAATCAGGAGGTGAAGCTCCGCCCATTCTCCTTGACAGGAGGTTCGGTGCTGCCTTCAAGGACAACCACGTAAATCAGACTTTCCGGTAGTCACTCCGTATGGAAATTGTGAAATTTGTAATGATAATAAAAGAGAATTAAAACACCACGTAGTCCTTTTCATTGTTTTAGGTTTTCTCCTTTTAAGTATGTTGTAAGAAAACGTAGTTGAAAATTGCAACTAAAATATATCTGTGTAGGTTCTCAGTCATGCAGGTTATTTAATCCAAAGAGTTACATCGAGGGCAACTGCTAAATTAAACATAGCAAAATGGGCTATAATAGACAAACCGGGTTTTGACAATAATTTAAATTTTCCCGATATATCTATCCACAGACTGCCATCAATGTTAATTAAAGTTAATGTTTATGAAAAAGCAAATCCTCAAATAACTAATGTTGCACTTAATAAACGGTGAAAGGCTGTTTGTAAAAAAAAAAAACAAAAAAAAAACATTCTTGATGCACATTATCAGTAACAAACAGCCACCTTTTGAAGATGAAAGTGAATAATTTGCATACGGAACAAAATAAAAGATTGACACTTTATTTTGGCTTCCATTAATCAATTGAAGACTGACACTCGGGTAACAAAGCAGGTATCTTTACAGTTATTTACAAAAGTAAATGAATGAAATATACTTTAATCCCCTGAAGAAAACAAGCTAACAGATGTGGTTAGTTTCCTGTTGGGATTTTTCCATTTCTGTATGAAAAGTGTTCTATTTAAACCATTCCTTACATAGGAAGGAAGTCCACAAACAATCTTTCCATTCCATATGATCCATCAAACTCCTGCCAGGGACAGCTCTTGATAGATTAAGTACAAGTTCAACAAGAACAGCAGAAAAAAAAAAAACATTTCAATTTTCTTGTCCCAATGGCCGGAGTTTACACGACCACGCCCATGAGCCACAACAAAGTTAATTGTGAATGGCATCAACTTATCAGAAACAACATCCTCTGAGTTGTTTCTGAATGTCCGTCCGGCAGTTGATCCTGCTCAGTTCAGGAGTCGGATGATGCTGTTGATGTCTGGACCGCGGAACCCTGGGTTTCCCAAGTCTTTGAGAAGGCCAGCTTTATCCCTGGCGGCGTGACGAGCCACAGAAAGCTTGAAAGGCACGAGAAAATTGTTGGCTTCCCGAAAGCTTTTACCAACCGAATAGATCTCGTGGATCAGATCCTCCAAACAGATGATGCCGTGTTTACCTGAGGGACAAGATAAGGTGTTTTTTTTTTAATAGTTTGAAGTATAAAACTTGCCAAAGAAAGTTTAAGAACAATTTGAGAAAAACGGCGACATCTCTTAGATTTACAGTCAAACAAAACCAGCTGCTGTTTACTGACACGTCGGGAAGAGTGTCAGGAATAATATCTCTGCTGAGTTATTACATACACCGGTAATGAAATATCACCAGGTGCGCTGAGAAAAACGATCCAATTTCACTTCATTGGTCTGAAAACCTGTTTAATAGCCGTAAGTAATTTGCCATTCAGCACGACAGAGACTTCGACAGGCAGAAGACATAAATCCTCTTCCACCAAGTGGCAGCAGATGACTATAAAAACGAAAACAAAACCCCAGAGACTCAGAGGTGTTGAAGAGCTTTGTGAGGGTCTTTCTTCAATTCAGTATATCAGTGTGGTGTTCAACTAAAGAGGATCAGGTTTCACACCGAGTAAATAAATGGTCATTAAATTGTTATATTTTGTTACATATACTTTTTTGGACATTTTTGTTTGGTGTTGTGGAAATTAAATTGTTCTATTTCGTTACATATACTTTTTTTTTGGACATTTTTGTTTGGTGTTGTGCTGTGGGATTTTTCAAATGTGAAATATGTGCCTCAAAAAGTTTGGAAAACAGTTTCTGGAAAACTGTCTGGATAACGAACTCTGTGAGGTAGAAATTCTGTTCCTTCTTTGTAGGACCGTTGTTATGGTCATGATCTCAATACACATGACAATCCTGTCTGGATAGCAATTCTGTTCCTTCGTTGTAGGACTGTTGTTATGGTCATGATCTCAATACACACAATAGATGTTTCATTTGTGCGGTTTGTACCAAACACCCAGGAACGTACCCATGTGCTGCTCGATGAAGGTATTGTCGGTGAGAGGTACTGTCCTCCTGCCCATCTTGGCCTGTCCTCTTTTCAGAATAAGCTCACGAACAGACTTTAGGTTTGGAAATCTGTTGGCAAGGGGAAAAAAAAGGATTATTTTATGTAATCGAACTAAAAAGGAAAAGTCCATCGATCATTCACACAAACAGCAGTACTCACCCCCAGGCCACATAAGGCTCCACCACCTTCATCATGGTCATTGAAGTCTTGTTTATTCTGACGAAAGACCCGCTGAAAATCTTCCTGAGCCTCAACATCTGGATCACCTTCATCACCTTTGGACTCACACCTTTAATCCTAGGAAATAACCATTGGTGTTTATTTATTAATGTGCGTATGTCACTTGACATTGAGAAACAAATTTGTATTAGGGAATTACTGTTGAAGGGATCAAAACTCTACAACTCTAAAAACTCTTACATTTGAGCTCAACAGTTTGACACGGACAATTCGCGACTAGGAGCCCGTCTTAAGATACTCACTCTCTGATTCGAACCACAAACGCCAACTTATTCTTCTCGGGAGGCAGAGGGGCAGCTGGCCTGTGCTGCATTCTTCTGATGCGTGTTTCATCACGATGTTTCTTGTGACTCTCTTTCAAAAAGTCTTCCAAACGTTTGAATTTCAAAGGTTTGCCTTTAGAATACTGCAAAATACAAATGTACAGATAATTACAGAACAGCACTAGCCATGAAAGAACAGGTACATTTTTTTTAAACTATTGGTAGCCAATAATGGTTGTGGTACTAGAGCGCTGGTGCTAAAAATCTGCAGGAGCGGAAGTTCATGATATTCTGGTGACCATAGAGATTGGCTAAGATTTGAAGTCAAGGATTTTTGTCCCTTCTCCCATCACTGTCATGATGTCTTACAACATAGAACCGCAAGAGATTTTTTGGGGGGGTCATCTCGCATCATGTTTCCCAGGAGTTTACGAATAATGTCTACTGACTTGGGTTGCAAAGGTTCGTGACTTTTCCGTGGGTCCCCAGAAAAAAAAGTTTGGGAAACACTGAAGTAATGGACTAGGTATCTGATGTGAACAGACACTCAGACTGTTTGTAATAGCAAAAGTTTGCAATAAGTTAATGCACAAATAGTTGTTTATTGCCGTCTGTACGGTAAACGGCCACGTGTTTAGACTCAAAATGATCTATCTTGGCTTACCTTTCTTTTTTCGAGCAGTGCAAGCTTGGCCTGTGTAGCTTTGACGGCCTGGTAGGTTTTCCTCTTTTTAAGTAAATACTCAGGGACCAACTTGATCACCTTTTCGGGTCTGAAAAACAAAGAGGGTATCAGCAACAAAGACTTTAACAAACAGGTTAAATGTCAGCTACCACCTACTGCTAACGACGTTCATTATACGCGACCAAAACAACACTTTGCTAGATTACATTTACAAAACGCGTCGGAAACTGCCGTGTCCATTAATGACAGTACCTCTAAATTTATCCCGTACAAACTATACAACACAGATTTTTAAACATTAATGACAGTACCTCTACATTTATCCCGTACAAACTATACAACACATAATATAACCGACGCTGTCTTTAGTGTTGAAAGTAATAGATATAACAACACATGTAAGTGAGCTACGTATCGGTGAGGACAGCAGCGTGTGAATAACTTTTAAGATATCTTTTAACTACATCCTTTAACTCTCTCAATAGAATATCTGACAAATAGAGTAACAATCGCATTAAGTCGCCATGTGAATATAATCTTAATTACAAATATATAAATTAAAAGATGGATATAGATAGTATTAAAAGACAACAACATACTGAGCTTCAGCCATGGTGGAATAGTATGTCGCGTCGTCGCCCAGAAATGACGTAAGGGTTACGCGTGTTTTAATTGGCTCGCAGTGATCTTACGTGTGCTATGGGAGTCACGTCCATGTAGAAGGCGCTTCGGTCTTCATTATGTAACTTTTAAAGTTTCACATCATAAAGGAGACTTTTATCGTTTGTTTTATGTTTCATTATTAGATAGTGTTTATTTCGCGATTAACGTTATCGTTTAATCCTAGTGCAGTACATACTCTCTGTGTACAATATTCCTGTGTATCCTACTAACATTACATTAAACATTTACCCGTTGATATATTATCGTATTTTACCTCGATTAATAACATTTATTTATTATAATGAAAAAACATGAAAACAATAATAATAAAAACAGTAACAAGTGTGAAATCTTCAGTATTTTTTCATGCTAGCTCCTTCTGCTCTCAGATTTACATTTCTGGTTCCACCAAAGAATTACTTCAACAGTAACTATCAATTTTTTCCCCATTGTGTACCTTCTCTGAATATTTGGTTTTTGTATAAAATATAGGAGGCCTGTCCTACCCTGTTCAGCTAAGCATAGTGGAGTATATGAAAAACAAAAACATAATTTTCAGTATATAGTTATCAAGACACATGAAAAGGTAAAAAAAAAAAAAGGTCTTCAAATTCCACCACATGGACCTGAGCCAAGTGAAAAATAAATAAAATTAAAAAAAAGTTATTTGTATTAAAAAGTGATATTTCATACAAACAACCTGTTCCTTGATTACAAACTCCTGGCTCGCGGACCTGCAATCTCCCAAAATCTGACCGGCGACTAGAACATAATTCATTCTTTAACTTAGCCATTAACTTAGCCATTAAGGTAGAAAAAAATCTTTGATCAATTTTTTCTTCATTAAAATACTTTCATTGGCAGCTGTGTCCCTCAGTTCATTAGAGTGAGACCCCTGATTGTTGTACCACCTTTATGTTTCCAACTTAACAACTGCCTGCCAAAAGATTTAGCTTCGTTTCCCTTTCCATTCGGAGCTCCAATGAGACTGAGTCTGTATAGTGTATACATGTCCACCATCAGGGTGATTGAGTCATTTTGGTTAAGAGTAGAAAGACCAGTAGATGAAGTTGAAGAGTATGTAAGATCCAGGGAAAATGACTCGGGAGTACTTGTCTATTGCATGAGTGTCGATCCACACGTTGCCGTAAGGGCCCGAACCTACATGACCAGTGATGGGATCGCTTTCTATGGCCATCTGCATCAGCATCACGTCCTGTTTTATCCCGTTCTTCTCGGGTATGTCGTATTTCCCCGTGGTGTTGATGTCCGTTTCGCTGAAGGTCCAGGACAACGTGCCGGGACGGGCCATGTCACAGGTGCACGGCAGCTGCAAGAATAAAAATACTTGAATGGTATGTGACTCAAGAGAGGTTGAATTTTTTAAAAATACAAAAAACAAACTTCTCAAATAGTGGGGCGGGGCTCCCCAGGGGACACGCAGTGAGGGGCGTGAGGGGCTTCCAATGGAATATGGCACACATATAGACATAAGTGTACCACTGCTGTAATGCTTGAATGATAACAAGCCTCCAGCCACTAGGTGGCAGCAACTCATAAGGTGGTTTGTACAGATAAAAATATACGTTATCAGGTTCTCAATAGTATTTCAATTTGCGGGGGTGAGGGTCGGAAGAAGGGGGGCAGTCAAATGCTTAAGAGTAGGGGTGCCAAACATACGGCCCGTGGGCCAAAAACTGGCCCGCTTGGGGTTTCAATTCGGCCCGTTTGATGAATTCTGAAAATGAAAAATTACACAAACACTACATGTTGACACCCATTGTTTGATGTAGTATTTCGAAGCTATCACAAGACTTGTCAGCATCACATTTATACCTTAAAGTTGATTCGCTTTTTGACAAGTGAATGTTTACACACAGAATATTAAATTTTTTTTTTAAAATTATAAACTAAAGATATCTAGCTTTGTTCAATAAACAATGAATACCATTTAGTTAGGCAAGTACTTTCTCAACTACTACTAAAATGTAAAGAATACACCCCACTTAGCCTAACTGAGGCAGATGTGTGGTATTTTCGATGCATCTAAAGACAGGACACCATTTATGGAAATTTCATTCTTTGCATTTTATGATCGCATTTTTGTGCAGTCCTGACCGTCTCTCTGAGTTTCCTCTCCTTCCGCTCCTGTAGTGTGGACAGGTAGTTGACTGCAGCGTACTCTATCACGGACAGGAAGACAAAGACGAAGCTGACCCAGAGGTAAATGTCCACAGCTTTAATGTAGGAAACCCGCGGCATGGACGCGTTGACTCCCGTGATGATAGTGGACATTGTGAGCACTGTGGTAATTCCTGAGGGACGACAAGGTTGGAACAGATAAGCCACCAATCTGTCAGTGAGAATGTAGTTAACGCTTCATTTATTGTCACATGTATTATATATATATACATATATATACATATATATATATATACATATATGTGTGTATATATGTATATATACATATATGCGGCCCGTTCAGCTTTTTATTACAGCCAAACTTTTCCAAATTATATTATTTATTATCATTATTCTTCTGCCTTTTCCCTGCAATACCCACGTTTTCCCAATAGATGGCACTAAAATGCTAAAAGCATTTTAGCCTTTGTGCTGCTCCTGACCCCGCACCCCCTGTTCAATTTTAGGACAATTGTGGCCCACGAGTCAAAACGTTTGCCCACATCTGGATTACACTGATACACAGATAAATCTTCACAAATGATTTAAAATGTTAATTTCACCAGATCTATATTTGTGTTGCTGAAGAAAAAGTATGTCAAAGGAAAAAAAAAGAGGGCGCAGCTTTAGAGAAATTGTCATTAGTCTCACTAGTGTCACCTGGTGCCCTGGGTATATATGCCGCTCTCCGTCACTCTGTCTCTCTTTTGGTCGATAAAAATAAACGTTCTGCACCTGTCTTCGCCGCCTCTCTCTCTCTCGTGCTGCGTTTGAGTCTTCCCTGTTTCACGGTTTACTAGAACATAACAATTATGCAGCCCACTGTGTGGCTAAGTGCCCTCACCTAATGGCACTCTGGCGGGGACAGCCCTGCGGTCGATCCAAAAAGACACCCAAGACAGCATGACCATGAGAGTGGCGGGGAAATAGGTCTGGAGCAGGAAGAAGAAGACGTGACGCCGTAGCGTGAAGTTGATGTAGAGACGGTTGTACCAGCCTGATGAGGAGAGAGAGGATATAAGTTGCGTAAACAGTAACGTATGTGTACATTTTGAGTACATTTTAAAGACTACTCTTCCCAGCAGTACCTGTGCTGCTGTAAAAAGCCAACTTGGTGGTAGTGTGGAACTCCTGGATGAAGAACTGGGAGACAGATATTCTCTCATCAGTGTTTAAGGAGCGGTTTCCTTCCTTCCAGTACAGCATCAGATCATCATCTGTGTAAGCATCTGCAAGGACAAGTTTATTTTTTAATTTCTACCCACAGCTGAAAATCATCAGTGGAATTGTAGTCTGTTGTTGCACAATAAAATGTATTTATTTAGTAATACTGATGTAGTCATAGCAGTAAAAAAAATGAAGTACAAAATATCTTCTATATCAATTTAATTTTAAACGATTTTTAACATTGTAAATTTAGGCTTTGAGTCATTTTTAGACGTCTACAGTTTAGTTAGTCCTAACTAAGGTCTTAATTTATACTTACTTTATTTATTATTTTTATTCTTAAGCTTACTAAACGCATTCGCTTGAATGAAGCTGCTTAAGCTACCTGACCGGAAAAACGGTGAAACAAATCCAAAATAGTTGCCTTCAAAATAAAAGCCTCCGTGTTATATTTATGTTTTAAACAACGTTTACTATTACACATTTAGGTTTTGAGTTATTTTAAGACGTCTACAGTTTAGTTAGTCCTAACCTAAGTTATCAATTTATACTTACTATATTTGTTATGTTTTATCTAAAGTTTACTAAACTCACATTCGCTTGAGTGAAGCTGCTAAGCTACCTGACCGAAAAAAACCGAGAAACAAAACCAAAATAGTTGCCTTCAAAATAAAAGCCTCGACGTTATATTTTGTCTGCTGCCGTTCATTATGCTTTATGAGCGGTTTGGCTGTCATAAATTGAAATAAAATCTTTGTAATATTGAGTAGAAATGCTTGAAGAGCAACCTCACCTGAGAGTTAACAAACAAATAGAATAATAATCCTAATTAGAACACATTCTAAACCAGAGCCTGTTAGCAGTGATAGCTTTTTTCTTTTATAGTTTAGATAAATAATAGAATAGAATAATTTATAACAAAATTTGTATTTAGTGCTTAATTTACTTCCTTTCTCTTTTCTTCTGGTAACAAATAAGCTGCATTATAGTTGAGACAGAGCTAAATATAACAGAAAAAGGGGCCTTGCAGAGGAAAACGAGGCTGAGCAGACTAGGCTAGTGTTCGACAGATTAAACAGCAGCCAGAGACGGGGAAACCCAGTAAAATTCTAGTTTCTAGTAACCAAATGAAACACAGTTTTGGTCACATCACCCACTTACAGCTCTCTATCTCCAAAGAACACGTTTGCGTGTCAAGAGGAAAGTGGCTCAGGTCCATGCTGCACATAGCTGTGACCGTCACCCTGCAACAGAA